TTTGAGAGTTTTTTTTTTTTTTTTTTGTATTATATTGAAACTAAACTTATTCTTGTAATTATATTTTTTATTAGATTTAATGCATATTTTTCACTAATAAAATAATAAACTAAACAACAAATATTAGGTTGCATGATTAAATTATACAAAAAAAAGTCGCTTGCGCAACTTCGCAACTTTGCACATATGTGTACGGAGTGTCCACAAATGTGTGTGGACTCTGCACAGAATATGCGGACACTTCGCACATTTCGTGCAGAGAGTCTGCAGTTAGTGTGGACACTCCGCACAAAGTGTCCGCAATGTGTGGACTGTCCGCACAATGTGTGGACACTCCGAACATTTCGTGCGAAGAGTCCCACACAAAGTGTTCGCAACGTGCGGACAATCCGTACAAAGTGTTCGTAATGTGCGGACTGTCCGCACATTTTGCGAAGACTTCGCACAATCTATGCGAAGTTCCCGCACAATGTGCGGAGTCTCTGCACGTTGAACTCCCCGCATATTTGGAGATGTGAACACACAACATGTTTACCAGAAGTGAGATAAAAAACTAAAACAAATACAGGCATAAAAAACATATAGCATTGGAAAGTATTGCTAAATATAAACCTCTTAAATTGAAGGTCCTTAAACGTCGATCAGTAAAATTAGGTTGCACTTCATGCATCATATTTTTCAGTTGAGGATTCTTCATAAACATCCGCTTTCTCTTTCTTTCGCAAGCTCGCCTATTCTTAAACCAATCACCAACATTTTTTTCTGAAATAATAGGATTATGTGGCGATATGATTGACACTATATATAGAATTTTTGCATTGTTTGGACTTTTATTTCCTCCATCAAATATGCACTGGAAGAAAATTAACCTCCGTAGATGTAGGTACCCAACGTAGTCTTCCCATAACCGTTTTGCCGACAGGTAAGCGGAACAGCTAAAAAAAAAGAATAAAGAGAATGACTCGTTGAAAACTCGAAGATGAAGTTTGACAATAGTATATAAGAAGAGATCAGGAATGTGGGTTGAAGAAGAACATAGAAGAAAATCATAAATGCCACAACACCAAAACGAAAATAAAATGGAAATGAAGATATCAATCAATTTTGTAGCTGAAAATAAGGAGTATGGTTGTGAGCATAAGGAGCATGGTTAGTATGGTTGTCAGCATGATCGTAAGTATGGACAAGGCAATAAATAAAAAAGGAAGGGAAAAAATAAACATGAATAGTAAAATGAGATTATTTTACTGTTCTATCTACAGTGTCATCCCATTCCCCTTTTCAATAGAAATTAGATATATCAAGGATTCCGAATGTTTCTTGTTTTTTTGATATAAATACAAAAGTTAAGAAGACTAACTTTCTGAATTAAGGACTTGTTCGGTGGTGATTTTGAGGATTGATTTTTTGAACGTTAGGGAGAAAAATGGGTCCCACCTGTGAAAGACGAAGTCAAAAATAATAAAATAACAATAAAAAATTTGTTTTTTTTTGGGAGGAAAAATCAATACGAAACATGCACTAACGTTTTGTGGGATTGCCATGTTCTAGTCGCTTGAAGTTTCGTGGTCTCTGACATCTATAGTAGCAGGGAAGCGCAAGAAACAAAAGTGTTGTTGCCTGTGTCATTACTAATTGGTCATCTAAGAGGTTGGTAGCTTCTGTATTTATCATATGTGATTATGTACGAGTATCATATAGTGAATTATTGGGTGGACAGTTGCAGATATCAACTCAAAAGTTACATGGCCAAGCAATGTGTTATTGAACAATTGCAAGGTGGCTTTATAACCTTGAAAAAAATGAGTTTTAAAGAAAGATGCTCAAATCGAGGCTAAATTACAACATCGCTGGGAAGTGACTGCACTAAATGACTTGTTTGGTTTAGTTTTATATATATACAAATCTCATAAAATGTGTAGCTAAACATAAATTTGACAAAAAAATTAGTGTTCGAAAATGGGGGCTAAATAGGCTAAATGATCAAAATAAAGGCCCCGTTTGGTAGGAATTTTTTGCTTCAAAAAATTGATTTTTTGACCGTTATTTTACTATTCAAATTGTAATTTTTGACTTCTTCTCTCACATGTGGACCCCACTTTTCTTCTAATGGTCAAAAAATCAATTCTCAAAATCCCTACCAAACGGGCCCAAAGAGTAGGTGCTTATAATTCATTTTGAAACTTTATATGAGGCTGCAGAACAAAAAATGTTACCACTAAACATAATGAGTCAAGAACTCGCTAGCGCGACTTTTATTACAAAAATCAGCAGCGTCGAGGTATTTTTGGATGTAAAGCCTTTCAACTCTTTTCCAAATCCACGGACCACGCTCCTTTAAGGCTTTTCCTCTACCTTCGTTAGAAAACCCAAAGCCCTCAGAAACCCTAAATCAATTCCGTTCATTCACTTTGAATTCTCTCCCTGACTTCACAGTGCAAGAATCATAACCATGAATTTCTTGTCCAGAGTCAAAATACCACACCATCTTTTGATCACTTCTCCTGTACCAAGAAAATGCCTCTTTTCACTTCGCCCTATCTCTTGCTCCCAACAATCCTATAGAACTGGCACGGATACTACTTCTAATAGTAAACTGAAAGTCCAAGAACCCAAGAAACCCAGCACCCAGAAATATTCAGAATCATCTTTGAGTTGGTCTCAGAGGGTCAAGAAACAAGCAGAGACGCTGGCTGTTTGGCCAAGGCCAACTGAGATCCCATATCAAGCAAAGGTTGCTAATTCTGTGAATTTGATTGGCTATGTAAAGACTCCGGTTCGTTTTGAGTCTACGCCTGATGGAAAACACTGGGCTGTAACGGCAATTTCTCAAGAAAATGGTAATGATAACAAGTCTTCGTTGATTCCGATAGTGTTTGAGAGTGACTTGGCTCATGTGGTTGCTTGCCATGTGAAGGAGAATGATTGTGTTTATGTGGCCGGGCAGTTGAGTGTGGACCCTTTGCCGTTGGTGTTGAGTGAGAGTCTTGGTAAGTATCATGTTGTGGTTCAAAATCTTAATTTTGTGGAGGGATTGAAAAAGAGTCTTGCGACCAAGAAAAAAGGGGTTTCAACGGTTGAGGAACCTGTTAATAAATGGGGCGCTATGAAAAAGGAGGTGTCAGTTGTTTCAGATGATGGTGATTCTACGGCGGAGGATGACGAAACTCTAAATCGGGAACGGAGAGATGCATTAGAACATGCGAAAAATTCAAGGTCTTTGGGCATGAAGAATGATGATGGCTCAATCAGGGGTTCTAAGGCAGCCGCGACACCGGAAGCTGCTGCATTCGAGGACAACAGGGAAAGAGTATTTGGGAACGAGTCTAAACCAGAAAAAGGTAATGTGAAGAGCGGAGAGATTGCTAGCAAGAAAAGAAATGGAGAGACGAACTTCGATTCTTGGAGGGATCTTGTGAAAAATCCTGAACAGTGGTGGGATTTTCGCCAACACAAGTCTAATGGATTGGTTAAAGAAAAGCACCCAGATTTTAAGCACAAGGAGAGTGGTGACGGACTCTGGGTCGACAATGCTCCAAAATGGGTATTAGCAGGGCTTGGAAAGTTGGAATTTGATGTTATGGTTTTTCGTGCAAAGCAAGTGCAATATGGTCAAGGGATTAAACGAGATGGAAAAGGGGATGATTCCTGGAAGAACTTGGTGGAAAATCCTGATAAATGGTGGGACAATAGATCAAACAAGAGGAATCCTAAACAACCTGACTTTAAGCACAAAGAGACAGGTGAAGTACTATGGTTAAACAGATCGCCAGACTGGGCATTGTCTAGGTTGCCACCATTGAGAGATGGTCAAACTTCTGCTGCTGGAAAGAAGAATGATTACACAGGAGGGAAGCTATGAGAGACCCTTGAAAAGGGTTCCAACCGATTGGAGGACTTCATAGAGTGGCATCTTTGTTCTATCTTAGTGTCTGAGGTTTTAACACATGAATGTTGATGCTCCATAGGGATTGCAGATGTTGCGGGTTTAAGATTTGATTCAACAACTGAAAATCAAGATGAAAGAAGATGAAAGAGAAGATGTGTTTGAAGTTCTAACTGTTTTGGTTTTTCCCTTGTGATATCTGCTGATGTGGTTTATATTTATTTTGTAGCTCTTTTGCGGATTTTGTTTCATGTTATGCCCTTATCAAGTACTCCATCAATATTTTCCCTTTCGACGGATTCATTGAATACATTCCATTTATTCTGTTTCGTTGAAATTACTATTACTATTTAATCTTTACTCATCTAATCCCAGTTTGAAGAAGTTGGGTTTAAGGGAATTGTAGTTGACCCTGAATCTAAGGCTACTAGGCCAATATGGCCGCGACCTGTAACACTAGCAAGAATGTTGATCATGATGGCCATGTGCTGCAACAACTGCATTTCGAGCGCAACAAATCATTACGAGTCAAGTGGCACTCCATTTTCTACGATGAATATGAACTTTTGATTGTGCTGATACCCTCCCTGCTGTTTCGTAGAACCACTTCATTTACATGTGCTTATATGCCACAGTGATTGTGTATTAGCAAGTCATTATTTATATAAAATAAGAATATCATGTTGGACTGAATTTGTATATATGCTTGAATGTCTCTTTTGTGCCATGATGAAACCCGCAACTATCTACTTTGTCTATGGCTTTCTTGTCGATCGATGGTTTGATTGTTATGTTCTTGGACAAAGTAAAAATTAAGATTTTAGCAATTTATTCATAGTGGAAACTGTTTTGATTGTTATGTTGTCGGACAAAATAAAAAAATTATGGTTTTTTACAATTTATTCATACTGGAACCGTGCTCTACTGTCATTCTCTTGAGAGTCGTTGAAAAGATTATTCCATTGCCGGGAATCGAACCCGGGTCTCCTGGGTGAAAGCCAGATATCCTAACCGCTGGACGACAATGGAAGGTTGAACATCAGTCCTACCATTTTATATTTATTTAATTCTTTATGACGTCAAAGGATTTAAATGCAAGATAAAATAGATTGGGAACCCATTCGTTACTAAGGCGATAAGTTGGCGACTAGTTCTATGATTTTCTTGGTAGGCAACTAATTTCGTTCGCTATAGCTATCCGTTCCTCAGCTGACTGATTTTAGAAATACTTTGTACAAATAGCTTCTCAACCTTTTTATGCTTAACCTTTCAAGAATGTAGCAGTAGCTCCGGTGAATAATTTTTCATTGACATTTAAAATACGGGCAACTCTCTAAAGAAAAAGAGAGGAAAACAGAATTGCAAACCCCAACTACCACCGGCCCACCTCCCATCAGGTGAGTATTTTGACTGATGGATTAGTGCCTGAAGTGCTCCAATGGAGATGATTGAGAAGAATAAGGGTGTGTGTCTTAAAAGGGAACATAAGATGTTGCACGAGCATCTCATTCGACAATTATGTCCCTTAAATTTATCAACTAACAGAATTTAGTCATACATTGTAACTCTTAGTTGTTTATTTGTCAGCCCTGTTTGGTCCACATTTTCTAATATCAGGGACGAATACAATCAATGATCGTGTTTGGTACCAACTGCCGAGGTTGACCGTTTGTCGTCGACAATCAATGATCGTGTTTGGTTTTACTAAAAATCATATTTTTCGTAAATTCTGATAAAAGTTGATGAAGTGTATCGATGAAAAATTGGTAAAAATCATGGATCTCGCTAAATGTGTCATTGATAATAAATTTATGGAAAAATGAGTTTTAGTCACAGGCGCGGAGACAGCACCCGACGAGGGGGCGCAGCCGTGCTTGTTGGTTCCGTCGGAATGTGTAGAACCTCCAGGTACCAATCAAGCCGATGCAGTTGCAGACTTGCAGATTCGAGCGGAGATGGAAGACGAAGATGAAAGAGACGACCACTTTTTTTTTTTCTTTTTGGTTTGGACTGAGTGAGTAATTGATAAATCAGAAGTTGAGCCTCTTTTTGTTTAGCCCAATTTTCAAATGAATGAATAAACAAATCCAATTTCCAAATGATCAAACCATTTTCAAATCATGAAATCCAACAATCCGAACGTGAAATGCCCAAATCGTGAAAGCCAAACCCTTTTCCCCCCTTCTCCAATCTCCAATCCACACAACGCAGCGACGAAGAAGAGGCAGCACCGACACCATGAGGAGGAGGAGTCATCGGAGCCCAGAGCCGCCAATGATGTGTTCTGCTACCAACTGTCGAGTGTCGTCTGTCATTTCGGTTTTTTGCTTTTCAGTCTTGAACTGGTGACTATTCTCTCTCTCTCTCTCTCTCTCTCTCTCTCTCTCTCTTTTTGTTCTATTTTGTTGGCTACTTAATTTTTTGATGTTGTCCTGTTGAGTAATGAATGGTAATTATGTTATGGTTATTGATTAGGAAATTTTTACTTATGAAATTATGTTTGCGAATTGTAATTTATGTTTTATGAGTTATGATTATTTTGATTTGGAAATTTATATTTGCAAATTGTGATTTATTATAAGTATTTTATATTTTAATGAGGAATGATTATTGATTTGTGAATTTATCTTTACGAAATTATGTTTGCGAATTGTGATTTATGATAAGTAATTTATGTTTTATGAGCTATGATTATTGATTTGAGAATTTATGTTTAAGAAATTACGATACATTTAAAAAATTTAATTGAGAAGATGTTGGGAATTTTAGTTCATTTACATATATATTTAGTAACTTTTAATATTATTTAATCAAATTTTAATAAACGGCTGAACTATTACGATCGTTGATTGTCAACGATCAACCTCCATCCTAGTTGGACTTCGATGCTGGATTCGCCCTAGAACAGGAGCTTGGCTTTTTTGATCTTTTATAAGTGTGTGCGCATATTTCATTATTGCTAATGTCATTTAATGAAATATAATTTTTTTTTATCATATCAAATAGTGCCTATTCACTTTCTACTTAGGGTACTGGTTATAATTTTGGACAAACAAGATGAATACTACGCCTATTTTTGAAGAACAGAGGTAGTACAAGGAAAACATCAACATGGCAAGTATCTCATAATAGTCTATCTTTTATTAATCTTAACCATCCTGATGCAGGTGGTAGTCAGTATCTTGCTTCTAAATAAAGTAAAAGAGATATTGCTTGAAAAGATCAAGAGCAATGATTCTGCATTTTTGACATCTATAGTAAGAAGAAATAAATTTACTCCAGCAAACAAAAATCAAGAATTTTCTGGCTTTTCACCTCTCATGCTCCACCAAGAATATAAGCATCCCCATTGGAGACATACTTAGCTATTTCAACCAACAATTAGAATCAAATCCCAATGGCAGAATCTGCTTTAGTCGATTCATCGTCTCCGTTTTCTTTTATTGGAGCTACATCTACAGTATCAAGTGGACCTTGTGGGTTACCAAAAAGGGTAGAGAATATTTGTTTGTGACAATCATTGCACAGAAAGAAATAGGAGAAGTGACCCTCTTCTGTAAGTCTATGCATGAAGGTATTTGGCAGAACACGAACAACGTAATCAGTCATCGGGGGAGGAACCACCATATCATCCATTCCCTGTTCAATAATGAGAAAACCGGAAAAATGAAAATGCAACATGATTGAATTTGCCAAAGTAGAAAATACAGCCAATTATCTAAGTTTCCCTTTCTCTGACCGAGAAAGAAGATCGTTGAAGAAGAAACAAAAACACCTGCCTACCTGCCATATGTGAATTGGGCCAAGAAATCCAGTCAATTCACATTCTGCCTCACCATATATGAACTGCAGCCATGGGAAAATGCCTTTTCTTTGACATTTCCTTTGAACTTGGAGATCAACGAGGCTGAAACCCCAATTGGACACTTGAATTACAGCTTCCTCGATAAATGGTTTTGTTTTACCTTGACGAATCGACTCTTCAACATCCCTGTGCCAAAATTCTTCAAAATCTGACGTTTTAACCAGAGTTGTATCCTACATGAATAAAAAGTGATTTAACATCTTAGGAATAGAAATGTGTCAAAAAGCCTACATTATTGTATTTTGACATCCATTGATGCTAGAAATCAAAGTTTAAATATGCAGTTTCAGTAGACCTCCAACAAATAAACACAAACAAAAGGTCTTTGGGGCAACTTAGTATCATGACAAGAATAATAACTATTTCAGCTAAATTTGGTGAGTTCACTCACTGTGAAACATTTTCAAGGTTGGTTTGCTTATTCAGCAAAACAATCTGAAACAAGCTCTTAGCAAGTGCATTTCTTGCCAAGCTACAGTAATTCGGTTCAGTTTGCAATTATACAATGTCAATAACCTATGAATACATCCTGTGTGGAGTTGACGGAATGAACTTGCCTTTTTTCCCAGTGACAAAGATAACCATTTATTTATTTGTCCATGCTTTCCAGAGAGAAAGGTTTGACGGTAAAGGTAACCAAGAAATTTAGGAAATCTTCGAGCTAGATAGTACAAGAATTTTCTTTTTCGCGTCCAGTTTTTCCAAGTTCCAGACCTCTCTTCTTTACTCATGCTTGATTCGTATGGATTGATCCATGGAGCAAACATGGCGGCACCTGTAAGAGAAATCATCGATGCATCACAAATGGTCCATAATGCAAATAATTCTTAGTTCAATCACACATTATAGTTGTATCAGGTAGCGTACCTGCAACCCGATTTGGAATATATTTTAGTGCAGCCCATGCATGCATAGAGCCACTTGAATATCCCAGAACCCAGAATTTCCCCTTTACTCCTACAGCTTCTGCTAAGTATGACATATCCAGAGCTGATGAACTGAGGTTTCTGTTAGGATGAGGATCGCTCTCTCCAAAACCGGGAAGATCGTAAGTGATTAATCGAACACTGTATTCTTCCAACAAGGACACTTTGACACCTGGTATACCTATCACATGGAAACATTTCAATAGATTATAGCAAGAAAATAGTGTCCGAATTCCCTAGGTTTTATCAAGAATTCTCTCAGTACCCGCAAGCCGAGAAGAGAGGAAACCGTGTGGAGTGACCAACGAAAATCTAGCTTTGTCAGCTGGAACTCCTATCTCACGATATGCCATGTATCTACCATCCGGAAGTAGCACTCTGAGCGCACTAGGAGGATGTATGTGCACCTTCTTCACGGTTTGAAGATTACTATAGTATTCATTTTCAGTCAGAGCTGTATATTTGTTCAAAGCAATTGCTTAGGTGACAGAAAATAGGAGCAGTACAAACTACCAAATAATGCCAAATCAAGCACTGCAGATCTTCCTTCCGCAAGAAGTACAAAAATTAACTATTAGCATGTTTGGCAAGGGTTCTGCTACTGCTTATGTTTCTGTTTCTTGTTGAAGAGCAAAAAATCTTAGCCTCGGTTTGATTTCCATTCCTTGGCCACAAAAATGAAAAATATAACCGTTATCCATCACATCAAGCCACCATATTTGACTTTCTATCTCTTGTGTGGATCCCGTAACGACTATATTTTTCATTTTCATT